CAGCCTCAGTGTCTTAGCTAAGACTAGCATCAACAGGTAGCGTCCACATGTGCTATGCGGAGGCACAGCTCCTGAGCAGGCATCTGTGCTGCTGCCTGAAGGAAACAGCATACCCACCTGCTTTTGATTTGCTGCAAACTTATCAGTACAATTTATTTTTACCATATTCTTGCCTACTCCTTATTTCCACTATCTGCATTTCTCGTGGTAAGCATCTTTCAAGTAAAATTGCCACTTGAATGATAACATCAAAAATACCAAAAAGATCAGTAATCAGCAATCAGGTCAAAGCAGCTATGCTTGAAATTTCTACCATGAGTTAAGTAAAAAAGTTCATGATAAAAATTCAAGTTTAGAAAAAAAGGAATTACAAAATCCAATTATGAAAAGCACTTGCTAAACAAGCATTTATTTTCAGTTTTTCAAAAAAGTTTTATTTTTCATAGACGAAAAAAATTAGCTGTGTGTGTGTACGTGTGTGTCAGACAGACAGAGAGAGAGAGAGAGAGAGAGAGTGTGTGTTAATTGAAGATGGAATCATTTTTGGACTTGTAGAACAAAATAATTTCTAAGTTCAACTGATTTTAATAAAACATTGGCCTTTATATATCCCCCAAAAAGAGATGATTGTAGTAAGATTTTTTTCAATGAAGGGAAAAAATTGCATTGTTTCCTGTGCCATTTGTTTATTCTATCAATGACTCAAGATAAAAAAGCAGATATGCTGATTAATCAAGTCTTATTGATTAGTAGCATATGTCAATATTTCACACAAATGTCTACAGAATAATTTCTCCCAATCAAAAATTTATAAATCAATTTCAATTCCTGGTAATTAAATGTATTATTAGCCGTAGAACAATAAATGTGGTACTTTGTAAAAGTAGAACATGAAATTTATATTCAAGAGTATATGGATCAAAGGCAAAACAGCAAACATTTCTATTAACCAAGGTTCTAAGAACAAACTGGAAAGTACAAAACATAAAAGCTTGCAATTGTTTCAAATACATCTAGCAATTCTGCTGATTTCGGTCCATTAAAACTGATTACTTAATTAGGCAATCATTCAAGGCATCTAAACATTCACAGACAAAAACAGGGAGTCATTAGCATAGCCGTCTTCACCTTGAGATGAAAATCCTGAAAAATGTTGCAGACACATAAACTTTCAAGATCTGTCCCCACGCATAAACCAAGCAAAATATTGAAATCTAAAAGGTAACAGCCAAAGCTCAAGAAAAAAAAAAAAAGAATTTACCTAAATGATATCACTCATTTGTCTTTTCAGGTAGCTAATACCTTATCCTAGAAAAGTCAAGTTAGAAAACAGATATTCTCTATTGATTCTTGGAAGTACTACTTTTCTCCCCTCCGGTCATACTCTTATACTATCTAAAAGTAATTAATATAATTTCTGCTCTCTTGTATGTCTATCAGAAGTACCTGCCTACAAAAAGGTTTTCAAAGTTCCTAGCTAACATGAATAAAAACAACACAAAGATTTTCTATTTACGGAAAAAAAAAAAAAGAAAAAGAAAAAGAAACCCACAACCGAGTACTGGAACCTCAGCCACTGGAGTCTTTAATGTAACTGAAGAAAAAAAAATAATAATAATAATAATAATCTCTATGTTTTCACTCAGAAGATACCAGAAATAATTTCAAGAATATCCACTGATTTGGTACAGTCAAGGAGAAAGAAAAATATTCTCTCTAAAAAAAAAGAAAAAAGAAAAAAAGGTTCCTGAAATAATTCTAAAGAGACCCTATAAACTGTCTTTTTAGGAGAAGAGAAAAAGCAAGTCAACTCACACACAGAGCTTCCAAACAGAAGTCTTAGTCTCTTCCAGGAAAACAACAATGAGACTTTATTACCCTGCTATGATTCTTTCATTTCGGACATGATTAATTAGCAAGTATTACACTTCCCAAAACTCCCACTACACTCTTCGTGGTCTATCAGCCTAGTTGTTGAGACATCCATATGAAATAACAAGCAGCCAACAGTAGTAGAAGACAAGTATCCAAAAACTATTTCAAAGAAGGAACACTTCTCTCATATCTTTGCCTCCCAAAATGAAGCAGACTGCTTTTAACTGCTTTCACCAAAAAAAAAAAAAAAAAAAAAAATCCTTAATTGGTCATTTTCTTCACAATACCTTTTAAAATTTGAATAATGCATGCAATATATTCAGTATTTAAGAATACATGACATGGCTTATTTGTTACCTACCTATATCTTCAGGCTGGAATTCCAAAAAGACTTGAGTGAGCCCATGTAGTTTTACACTGATAACCATCCACATGCACAATTAATAAACAGTAAAGATGATGTGAGCAAGCACGTTTTGGGAAATGGTTTTTATAGGGGAAAAAAAAAATGTTTCTTCCCCAAAGGAAAGCTAGTATGTCACACATATAATGATGATAGGAAACAGCAGTAAAGAACTCAAAGAGAGGATGAAAGGAAGAGGACAACTCCAAAAATTGAATGAATGAAAACTCTGATTCTCTGCATATTGTTTCAAAACACCCTCTCGAAAATAATTTTCCCTTTAAAACAATCTATCTTCAAAACGTCCATGTGAGCCACGAGGCCAGCTATAACTGAATGTACTATAAATATATATTTAACAGCCGTCAGTTTATAAAGGCTAGGGTCTCCCCCCTCAACCTTTCAACTCTTAATGTCCAAAAAACTTCACACGTAGTACAGTACTAATAAATAGATCTTGTTGGTTCCAGGAAACATTTTTTTTAATCTATTCTGGTCATAATATCCTTGCTTTTTTTTCTGTTGTATTAAATTTAGGATCAAAAACATCAAAGCAGCTTCCACCTCGGACCTAACTTTTAGAGAATCAATGTGACAAGGCAGTCCCTGATAGATGTTTCTCTTGATAAACGACTTGTTCAAAAGAGACATTGTAGCTTTCATTTCCTGACCACAACACACTTTTAATTTGCAACAGCAGAGCTGCCAGAGTGAGAGCACTTGCCCACTTTCCAGCCTTTTAGGTTTGTAGCTCTGGCTCCTTTAGGCCACACGTGTAAGACAAACAAAATCTAAAAATAATCAGAGTGATAGAATTACAAAATAGGAGCCACTAATGCCACTTTATACGTACACACAAGTGTCTACTTTATACATCTATGAATAGAAATACACAGATATAAACTTTTCCTGCCCAGAATTCTAGTGTGTGATAAGGCTCCTGAGTGACCATCATTTGCACAAGAGGCATTTAAACAGAGAGAAATAAATTATGTGACTATTATTTAATAGTAAGCAGAGACAGGGGAGGGGGGCAATTTACACACTTAAATCTGCTGTTAAATGTCATGAATTACATGACTGCCTACCCCAACGTGTTTTTTACACATTATTGCAATGATTATTATTACTACTACTACCCAGAAATCACATTTAAGTATCAATACGGTGAACAGTCAAACCATCCAATTTCTGCTCTCAGCACATTGTCCGAGCTCCGATTTAAAATTTATAAATGTAATATCCTCCTCATCACAGGCAGCAGCCCAATCTGCTCTGAATATATATTACAGCTTTAACATCACAGAGGGAAATCGCCCATCTGGCAATCCCATTCGCTCCAACAGCTCCGGGGGAAAAAAAGCTGTGCTCTCTCCTCCTTAAAACATTTCTCAGGGCAAATTATGTGCATCTAAAATAAACAGTCTTCTTATTGATCGCTTCAAAGTCAACAAGTTCCAAATGCAAAATTCAAATCCTTTCTATCGTGTGTGTTTAGCTCAATAGTCACCAGAGTCCAACCAGAAGTGTATGTCGCGCAACGGCTCTTGCACTGCCTTTCCTTGTATTCACATTTGTGTTATGAGAGAGCGGTAACCACGGCCACATTACAGACCCCTGGCAGCTTTGCCCCACTGCTATTTCTTTCTTTCACGTTCTCCCTTTCCTTCTCTCTCTTTTCAGGGTGAATGCATGGTGGTGGGGTAAATGTAACCAAAAAAAAAAAAAATCCCCAAAAAACAACAACAACAACAACAAAAAAAACCCACCCCCCCCCACACAAACAACAACAACAAAAACCCAAACCAGTAGAAAGTGGACATATCCTGTGGTTATGCAAAATACTTTGAACATCTTTTTGTTGTTGTTCCCTCTTAGTCTTAATTGAATATCACAAAGTGTACACACGGCACGGTCACAAGAGCCATTGAAAACCCCCTCTCACTCCTTTATCTGACCTTTTTTTTTTTTTTTTTGTGAAGAAAGAGGAAAGAGCGATTTCAAACAAAGTCAATTTCAGTGCTTGATTATTTAATTCTGTCACAGGTTAAAAGTAAAAAGCGCTGACAGGCAGACAAGTGAATGGCAAGGGAAAAAAAAAACTACCACTGTTCCTTAAAAGGCATTAAGGACTTAAGGCAATCAAAATTTATTTTTTTTTATTTTTATGTAAAAGATACCCCTTCACTCACTCACCCCCCCCAAAAAAAAAAAACCCACACTCAGATGAACTGATTACTCCACAAAGTGTAATCATCCAGAGAGCAGACAAATTGCATGAATAGGTTGAGAAAAAATTTTTCAGCCAGTTTTGTGTGTGTACATATATATATACTTTCATTAGTAAGCAGTCTTTCCCCACACTCCCGCCCTCTCCCCTCTCCTCCCCAAAAAAACCCCACACTGAGTTTAACTAATTTACATACCATTTGACTTCAGCGGCTATCTAGTGCATTACTAGTAACATGCAACTTTGGGATTACCGCTAAAACCGATAAAAGTGGACTCCAGTAATGTATTAATCAAAACTGAAATATAAACAAGTGATAGCAAAAGCAAACAAGCATTTTGACAGATTAAAATATACATATACATATATTTAAAGGAATTCTACATCATGAGCATCTGCTTCCCAAGGAGAGTCTTCAATGGTTTTTATCATGCTATTTAATTTGTCTTTCCTATTTAGATGCAAAGGAAGTAAATTCCAAAACTGACATACCATAAACACTGGTGCTACTGATCATTTCTTGCTGGCAGCACAAAAAGCTGAATTGGATTTCTCACAAGCAGGAATTCCAAAGGTTGCTTTTCATTAAAGCCACTTTTCCTCTCAGCTATCAAATGTCACTGCCTTGAAACGTGGGCCCTTTCGTCAGGTATTCATTTAACCTACATGCATATAATTAAGGGGGAAAGCAACATCAACAAAAAGGGGATCTCAGATCACAGGAGAAGAAAGAAAGGAAAAAAAGCACATGACCAGGAATGCAAGTCCATGTCAATTTCACTCACTCCCATTGAAACTAACAAGAGCTCCGGGGAGGACGGTAATAGGATCAGTGGATTGTATATACCATTAAATTATACATCTTTCTCTCCCGTTCCTTGCCAACAATACGCCCACCACGCTGTGCCCCCTCCGAGCCGATGTGCTTACATTTTTCTGCAACCGATCTTCTGACATTTTCACGTTCCCCCAGCCACGAGACTGCAATTTAACCTCAACTTTTTGTGTGTGCAAGATTCTTATTTACACTTCTTATTTACTTAGAAGTTAGTTCCCGAAGAAAGTCTAGCCCCACCCTATGGCTCCGCTTTCTTAGGGTTGTGTGTGTGTGTGTGTGTGTGTGTTTTAATTTTTGAACTAAAAAAAAAAAAAAAAGATAGTAGTAAGTAAGCCCAAATAGAGCGGAAAACGAGCTTCTTGCTATCGCGAACTCTTAATCCAATACTATTGTTACAATGATTAAGCAGTAAAAAAAAAAAATGTGCATTATAATGTTTCGGGGCTACTTTGTACAGAGAAATTAGACAGCAGGTTGGCGTATGGAGCAGAAGCGAATGCAAACTGGATTTAATGTGCACGGCACAAGGCGAAGATCTCTTTTTATTACGGGTCTCGGATTTGTTTATATTCTTTAAAAAATAAAACAAACACAAACAAACAAACAAACAGAAAAAAAAGAAAACAAATTTAAGCAGATGGTGGGAAACCGAGGAGCTCCCCTTACCTGAACGCGCGGAGCGAAGCGCCGGTGGGTTAGCGCAGCATCGATCCGAGGTGTTTGCTGATGAATGGAAGCCGGGGTTAAGTGAAGGTGCCTAGGATTTGAAATCATTCCAAGTTTTTGAAGGGAAGACGGACTGCAGCCTCTGCCATGTTGGAATTTCAAACCCAAAACAGCTGCTTGGAAGGAGCCAGCATGCCAGCGGCTGGGCGCAGGCGCAGAGCGCCGCCGAGCCAAATTCAAATCACTTTCACACTAAGAGCCAAAGATCAGTTTTCAAAGGAGAGAGAGGGAGAGGGAGACGCGGGCTGCCGGGCGGGAGGCGGACGCGAGGCCGCGGCGGACGGGCGGCGGGAGCACGGGGGGGGGGGAAGGCCGGGGGGAGCACGGGGGGGGCACCGGGGGGCGGGGAGGGCACCGGGGGGAGCACCGGGGGGAGCACCGGGGGACGGCGGGAGCACCGGGGGGCACCGGGGGGGGGCGGCGGGAGCACCGGGGGAGCACCGGGGGGCGGGGAGGGCACAGGGGGGGAGCACTGGGGGAGCACGGAGGACGGCGGGAGCACAGAGGGGGGCACGGGGGGGCACGGAGGGCGGGGAGGGCATGGGGGGAGACCGGGGGGGAGCACCGGGGAACGGCGGAGCACCGGGGGTAGCACGGGAGGAGGGGGAGCACCGTGGGGGGGCGGCGGGAGCACGGGGGGGGAGGACCGGGGGGGCGGCGGGAGCACGGGGGGGAGGACCGGGGGGGCGGCGGGAGCACCGGGGGGAGCGGCGGGAGCACGGGGGGGGTCGGGCCGCGGAGCCGCAGGGGGAGCGCGGCGGGGCGGCGGGAGCACGGGGGGGGGGCTGCGGCGGGGAGGGCTCCGAGGCCGCCCGCCGCCCGGGTCGGCTCGGGTTACACGGCCGGGCGCGGCCCGCGGGGAGCCCGGAGGGCCCCCGCCCGCCCCCGCCGCCCTCGCCGCCCCCGCCGCGGAAGGGGCGCTCCGAGCCGGCCTGAGCGCCGCGAAGGGCCCGCGCCCGCGCCCGCACCCGCATCCGCTCCGCACCCCCCTCCCCGCACCCCGCGCGCGGACGAGCCCTGGCCCGGGCCGGGCCCTCCCCCGCGCGCTCCCCTGGGCCCCCGGCCCCCGCCAGAAAATGACTTTATCCGCAGAGAAGCGGCAACTTCGGGGGCGGGGGGGGGATCCGAAATAAGCCGCCCCCCACCCCCCGCCTCGGGAACGAGCCGGCTGGGGGGCGTCTAGGTGTGCGGTCCGCGCCCCCCCCCCCCCCGCCCGGGCTGCGCGGGGGAAGCGGCGCCTGGGGCCCCGGAGCGGCGGCCGCTGCTGCGCCGGCAGAGACCCGGCTCCCGCCTGCCCAACCCCCTTCTGGGGAGCGAGCTGGGGACCCCGGGGTGGGAAGAGAGTAGGGGCTTTGTGGCGCCGGGAGCCGAGGAAGAATGAAATGTGCAGTTGAGTGTGTTGCTCGCATCCCAGGGAGCAGTGCAGGCCCGATTGTCTGCGGCTGAGATAGCCTTTTGTTCGGAACATAAGGTTTAAGAAACACACACACGTTTTCTGGGGTCTCTAGTTAGATGTAAATGTGCTGCATCCAGACGCTCCCTGTGCCGCGTAAGCTCAGTTGGTTCACTAATCACCCCGCCCCACCCCCAAACAACCGGGATCATTTGAATGGGAACCTCATTCAGACTTCTGGGCTGCGAGTACTGCCTTCACCCTATTTCATTCTAGACCAGCCAACCATCCAACTGAGATAATAAAGCAAACAATAACATTTGATCATGATGTCTACGAGATAATGTGCCCGGCAAAGTTCTTTAGGAATCGGAATGAGCGAGAGGGTGAGGGAGGTGGTCGTTTCCCTTCGTTTTCATTAAATATGACTTTAAGAGATAAATGGTTAAGTTTATACCTTGGCCTGGTGGACAGCCGGCCCGCCCCGTGGCACGGAGCTCGGCATCAAAGGGCCAAATTAGACATTCGACCAGGAGCCCACCAAGCCGAGGATGTTACCTTTGAAGGTTGGAAACGAAAATAGACTTGTTTAGGACCGGCCCTCCTCCTCCTCCTCCTCCTCCTCCTCCTCCTCCTCCTCCTCCCCCCCCCCCCCCCCCGCCCCGGGTGTTCACATTCCCCCCTGCTTCTGGGCTGTAGATTTAATAGACTAAATTGCAGCTCTCCAGATGATGAAATGCAGCTCTTAAAAGATACCACATATATACTTTGAAATTAATTTCACTCTCCTTTTGTGATTTCCTTACCTGTGAATGGATAGCCCCTGAATGGATGCATTTAGCTAACACAATGAGAAAGAAAAATTATTTTAGTTAAATCGAGGCAGATGACAGAATTTAAGAGACAAAAAGAAGTGATTCAAGATCTTACCAAATATTTCTAAAGAATGAGATTTCTATTTGGAATGGATTTGACCTTTCTGCGCATTTTTTTTTTAAAAAACCAGGCTTCAAAATAAAACAGAAGAACTTTATTCTGATGTAACAGAGAACACTGAAGCCCCTTTAGTTATATTTTACAAGATAGCTTTGAAAACGATATTATGAAAAGTTGCCCACTGGATTTCGCCACAAAGAAATAAGTGTAGAAAAATGTCTATGGGTCACTGTTGGATTGAGTACAGATGAATTAAAAAACAACAACTGTGAAGAACTTATCATTTCAGTTATTGCCCATTTGGAGGATGACGACGAGAAGTCCTCTGGACACATAGCAGATGCTCTGTGCAGTTCTAGCAAAACTGCTCTGTGCTTGTTTGTTAAAAAAAAAAAAGTTCAAAGCTCATCAACCTTTAACACTAAGTTCCTCCTATGGAATTTACAGATCCTTATGCAAACCAAAATACCAAATAAAATCTATAGGATGGAATATCTGCTGAGTAAAAAAAAAAAAAAAAGACAAAAAACCCATAACTTATTTTCATGATCAACTTAAAGACCCTCATTGTTGATATCCAAAACCAAACAAGCCCTACTTTTAAAAAGGGGCAAGAAAAAGTGTGGTTCGCAGGAGTTTATTAACAGATAAGTAGTAATTTTTCCAACTCCTCTGTATATTCATTTGAAATACGGATTATGACATTTGTCACTCAACATATAAATGAATATAATTAACTTTGAAATCAAAGAAAAGCAAACTATTCAAAAGAGCGCTGCGTGTATTTACACAGCATTTCAAAATTGTCCAAAATTACATATATTCGAGAAAAGATGTTTACATAATAGAATACATATTATGGGATTTGCATGACTAATAAGATCCACTATGGAGTTTGTGACCTCATATTTCCAGCTTTTTTTTTTAAAGGTATGGATACAGGCTGCTTTTCTCCAATTACTTTTTTTGCAAAAGAAGATGAAACGTGACTTTGCCTTCCAAAAAGATGTATTCTTTGTAAAACTAGCGCAACATTAATGGTTTTAGTTGTTTTAATAAAACTATCTTCAATGATGCGGTATGGTTGACATTTTAATAGTCATCATATTCTATCCACATTTATTTTTAAAACTTTAATTCAAAAGCAATGTCTCTGGTTGTAACTGACATCCATCTCTACAATGTACTTTATGAAACTTTTCTTGTGACCCCATGAAGATAAGAAATTGAGTCTTTAAAGAAAGTGGGCCGGCTAATCAAGAAAACGGTTAATTCAGTGAAAAGCTGATCAGACTGATTTTTCTCCCACAGCAGTAAGCCCATTGCTTTTTTTTTTTAATTTCTTTCTAATGTAGAAAGGACAAATATAATGAATTTCTAATACACAGTGTATCCTGGCTTGCGTTTGTAAGAAAACCAAAGAAAAATAAACATCACTATTGTTTTTTTTTTTTTCCTTCAGGAGGAGTGTGTGCGTGTGCGTGTGCATGTGTGCTCATGCGCGTGTATGCGTGTTCCTCTCAAGCTAATTCTGGGAGGACAGATTCTTCTACTTTTGTGTTTTTATTCTCAGGACACATATAAGCAACAACAATCAAAGAGAAGTGTAAGGAAATAAGCAAGGTGATGCTGAATGCGATTGTGCAGATGACCATATTCTTACCTGTCTGGACCAAGGGTAATTTTGGCCCAGGGTAATTTTGGCTCTCCTCAGACATGGAGATGTATATACCCACGTGATGGGAGAAGAAAAGAGAAGGAAAAGATGAGGGTAGACAGAGCATTGAAAAGATAAGAAGACAGTGACAAGATTTTTTAAAGACAAAAACAAGGTTGGGGGGCTATCATGTTGAGTTTTTCATGAAATGCTAAACACAACTCAATTTATTTTTTTTTATTTTTATTTATTTATGATAGTCACACACACACACACACAGAGAGAGAGAGAGAGAGAGAGAGAGAGAGAGAGAGAGGCAGAGACACAGGCAGAGGGAGAAGCAGGCTCCATGCACCGGAAGCCCGATGTGGGATTCGATCCCCGGTCTCCAGGATCGTGCCCTGGGCCAAAGGCAGGCGCTAAACCGCTGCGCCACCCAGGGATCCCCACAACTCAATTTAATTTAGACATTCTGCTGTTTAGTTTCAAACTCAGTTATTCGAATAAAACATTAAACTGGTAATATCTTCTTCCACACTGTCGAGTTTCCAAAATATTGCAGGACTTATAGTTGTGTTTTAGGCCTGCATGTTTTCTTCATATTGCTCGCAAAATCTAAAGTAGCTCTTACAATAATGCAAATTACTGGTAAAATATTCTGTTTGCATAAAACTGCAGCTTATTTTAAGGATCTTCGTTTGTACCTAGAGTGAGTACTGAAAAATTTTTATGCCCCTTCCTCCCCAGCCCCTCAAGAAAAGTTAGTGAAGACCTTGACCTCATTTTAGTAAAATTACTCAATTTGTTAGAATTACACTTGAATACAGGTACTGTCAAAGGGTATTAGAGTGGTCCATATATCTCTTCAGTGACCTAACCCTACAATGGAGAGACAACTGGAAAATCCCCTGAGAGGTCCCCGGAGGGGTTTTCTTGGTTATGCAAAGCATTTTCTTCTAAGAACCTGAGGATTACACACTCTGATCCACTCTTGAACTAGTGGTAGTGTTCCTCTCTTTGCTGCAGCCTCTGCTTCATTCTGTATGATTCTCAACTTCATTTAGAAAGGACCATGGTCCTTACTGTGGTCAAAAGTATTGCCCTAAAACTGCAGAAGACTTAAGGGAAACTGACATTAACGTTTTATGGATTAAGCC